GCCAAAATTGTGGCCAAATCATGGGCGTGGAAACAAGTCTGTCTGTTGATCACATCTACCAATTCAGTAACAGTCATAAAAAAGATGAGGAGTATTGTTTGCAAATAGGGAATACCAGTGAGTTGCCAGGCTTCTCTCCCAGGAGTGTCCTAGAGTGAAGAGGAAGAATCTGGCTTTGCACCAGCATTTTGAGAGGAAGGTGATGTCTGATCACCATGACTCCAAAAGCAGCAAAGCCACACAAATAAGGAGTGGCTAAGTCTAGTGATATTGTAAAACAAGGCCACTTGGAAAGTCATGAGAGCACGCTTGCATGTGAATGAGCCCGTTTACTTGACTCAAAATAAAATGGCACCAGATTGAAATGTCCTTATGTATATCAGTTCTAAGACTTGACTTGCGTTGCTACAATGAATTGGGACAAATGATTTATCTCAGCGTTTCCCAAACCTGGTGGGTTTATGCCCCACTCTAGGGAAGTTTTGTGACTCTTCCATATTTCTGTGCCTTCAGCCACCACCACTCCTTCCTTTGTTTTCAGTTCTTTCATGCCCCCTTATCTCTGCGGCTGCCAGTTTCCATCAACACCAGGCAAAGCAGAGGGAAATTTGGTGGCAAAGGAAGCAGAGATGGACTGGGCATAGTGGGACACAAGAGAAACGGCAGCAAGGGAAATGGTGGCAGTGGTTGAAGTTAGGGGGAGAGGGGGCGTACAAGAGTGACTGAAGTCAGAGATGATTGCTGCTGTGATTCACACCCCACCCCAGGAACCTTTCATTCCCCTCCTGGGGTGCGCGCCCCACAGTTTGGGAAATGCTGGCTTAGCCTTTACTTTTAACAAAACAGATGGCTTAATAATACTTTGTTGCATTTTTGTCCTAAAAATATTCCTAAAATCTTGTGCACTTTAAAGCAGCTGTTGCCAGAGGCAGGCAGAACACAGCAGGGGTGGCAGTGATCCTTATTTAATCTTTTTCCACCTCCTGAGTGTGCTGTGAAGCTTAGTTTGGTAATGCTGATAGATAACTTGAACTGTTAAACTATTACAAATACTAAGAGTTGTTCTGTAAAAATGACTACAGCTTGTTCCCATTACAGTCAGCGATAAAAAAAAAAATCTGAATGCATTCAGATTCAGCCCATTCCAGTAATTGATAGGTAACTATCTGAGCTCCCCAGATTCTTCCAAAGCTTTATTTTAAAATATCTGGAGTCTTTATCTTATATCCAGGCATGAAATCTGGGAAAATATTCAGGTCCTGTTGGATCTGAAGTGAGAAAATATCAAGAACTTAAAAATCTTCAAAGATAGGTAGTCTGGATGTCAGGTTTCTCAGCTGCCAATTCTACTGACCTGGCCTCTATGCTAACTGGTCCCCCACATGATACCATGAGGGAAAGACCTGAGACATAGCTGATGGCAAATGTGGGCACAGCTGGAATGAATCAGTCCTTCTGATTATTTTCTACCTATGGGGACTTCTTACCATCTTTAATTTTCCCTGAGCCTGAGGAAGGGCGTGTGTGCCCCAAAGCTTGCAGAAAAAGATTTTTTTTTGTGATTTCTTAGTTGGTCTAATAAAAGGTATCATCTCTGAACCATGAGTTCTACAGTTTTGCATTTCTTTCAGTCCTGATGGTATTTATAGCATATCTTAGGCCATTCTAAGGATGCTGTTACATGTTGCCCTTAGGCTATACTAAGAGCTCTTAATACAGGAGTGTCCATGCTTGAAAGCATAAAAATAGTGCTAAGCACCCTTGGGGCATTTCAAAGTTATGCCACTTTGAGCAAGATTTATCTTTGAGCTATGTTACCCACCTTGTGTTATTGGTTCCCCACACACCCTTCCCTTGTCCCAATCCCAATTCATTAACACATACAATTTGTCTTTTTTTTTACTTCCTTCATTTTACTCTTTGGGGTTTTATTTCTTAGCACTAGTTTCATTTCTTTCATTTCACTTCAGTGGCTGACTTCTTTTCACCACACCCCCACCTCTGTATGCCTCTATACCTTCCAGCTCCATGCAATCCACCTGTCCCACCCCATCCTGGTTTGCCAGCCCTCTAGTGGTATGTCACAGTTGTGCATGTTAGAGAGGGTGTTAAGCCTTGATTCCAACATTAACGCCGCTTAACATTCCACAGCACTCAGTATAGCCTAAAGGTAACATGTAATAACCCCCTAAGTTATTTGAGGCTCTTGTTCAGCTCTCAGTTAGTCCTAGGTTCACAGTAGCAAAGATGATAGCTGAGAACACAGCTTGGCCAGATTTGAGAATCTGAAACAGTAGGAACTGTATTTTCATTTGTTGTAACCATCATTTCCTGGATTTGCGCTTGTCCCATGTAAGCCCCCCACTTCCCCTCCCCTCTCCTCCCCTTGCTGCCCTTGGTGCAGTCCAAGGACATTTTGCAACAGATTATGAAGTGGGAGCAGGATTGGTTCTTGGACAGAAAGTGCTGAGAGGCACGAACTGCATATTTTTCACTTGTGTGAAGTGCTGTGCAGTTATGGTACTACTGCAATAATAAACACTCACAAGAACACAGTGAGAACCTTTGAGAAAACACCTGGATCCTTGAGACTGTATAGACATATAAGTAAAATCCCTCTCTGTGCAGAGGGATGGCATAAAGGTTTGTGCAGCAGTATGTGTGCAGGGAACTGAATTACACAGCCCTTGAGATCCCTTCCAACCCTATGGATCTGAGTTTCTGAGCATTCAAAACAGACAAATGATGCATACACATTTTTCTAGCCCTTTGCACACAAGTGAATTTCATCTGGTGTGAGGGAACAGTTTGCTTCTACTGTGATTAGGTGCATTTTTTGACAAGGCTTATATCTGCATTTAGATTTAGAGATAACTCAAAGGTGCCATCAAATCTAAGAATACTTTGGAGGGAAAATAACCTGTTTAGGCCTAATATAATCCCCAGAAATGGAGAAAAAGACAGGCATAGACAAAACCATTGGGTTGCATAATTTACTGAAGACTTGCACTACAATAGCTGGATATTGCTCTAATCAAAATCACATTTTATAACTTTTACATTGCTGCAGCAATGACTAAAATCGAGAAATGTGCTGACCTTGATGCCATTTTAATTCCCACATTTTATGTAATTTTTGAAGGAAATGCAAAGGTAAGGGCTGTGGATAATCCCATGGCTACTATTAAATGTAGTCATCTAATCTAATCACTCTATTTGTATTGCTTCTAATCTATTTATATTGCCTCTACTGCCATAGTATTTGAGAACCTGGTGCTCAAGCCCACACTTGCTAGGTGTGCAGTCATCTCACCAACTACGTTAGAACTACAGATGTGCCTTTATAGAGCCCAAGAATTCAGGCTTTATGCGGGTGGAGTGCAAGAAAATTGAAGAAATGCCCCAAAGCAGAGCCAGGGGATTTTTAACTTTGTGTAGCTCAGAGCACAGCCCTATAGGATACTGAGACCTCTGATTCTGAACAGTTTGTCACATGCCTGACTTTAAGGCCTGAATTTGCAAAATATATGGTAGCAATAACTATGTGATAAACTGTAGAACCCAGTAATGAAAAATACCCTGAAACTGCCATTGACCGAATGGTGTCATTTGTTATGGAAGACTTCTGAGCTGTTCTTCAAGACTGTTTACCACACCACATATTAGACTCCCTAAACCTGCTGCTGCTCTGGGGGTACAGCTCCCACTGAAATCACACAAACTTTGCATGGGATAAGGCAGTGGAATTAGAGTCCATTTAACAGAATACATGTAGCTGAATACATATAATAAGTAGTTATGAAACTGTAGCAGACATTCAGAAATATCTAGAAGTCTTAGTCCTTCCCCATGCAGAGTCCACAGCCCAAATGGATACTTCATTGCTTTTTTATGGCTGATGTGTGCATATATTTGCATACTCACACATCCATACATACACACACAGACAAACACAAACACATACGTTTTATGAATATTCATAGTTTTTCTACACATACCCACACTAATGTGTGTGTGTGTGCAGAAAACTATGACTATCCACAAAAAAGAAATCTAAAAGACGAAGAATAATTACCAAACATGGATGAAAAGAGCAAAGCAGCTCCCAGTGGTGTCTCCCCTGCAAATTTCCAGTTGTTTTACATGATGTGCGTTACAGCTGCTTCTAGATTATTGTATTAGGTATTGCTTTGCCTTCATGCTTCTGTTGGGGGGTCACTACTTCAGCTTGACTGGAACCACACACGTGTGAAATGGGAATACTTTATTTTTTTTAATTGGACATGATCTTTTCCAGTGTGGCATAAAGAAATGCCTTGATTTCTTCCAAGCACTTTCCCAGTTTGTTTCTTGTATGAACAGTAGCTCCGCTGCGCACGGACACACGGCCGTTCCCTGCCCGTTCGGGGACAAGCGCTGCGGTCCCCGGCTGCTGCGATTCCAGGTGTGCGGCTCCGTCCCGAGCGGCGGAGGGGCGAGCCCGGGGCTGCTCCGTGGGGCACAGCCCAACACTGAAGCGTATCAAACCGGGGGCAGCTCCGTTTCCAGCCACCCTTGCTCTGCTCGCTGCCCTCGTTCCGGCCCGAGACCCCGCGCCCGCTTCCCC